GTTTTGAAGTGCTGACCTTGTAACCACTACACCACCAGAGTTCCCTGAACTGATATAACAGGAACTCAAAGGTTGCTTATTAAACTTTCAATTTTTTCTCCCCAAATGTGTTCAAACCAAAGCCAGGCAGGATGGTGCCTATGTTAGACAGCTCGCTCTGGCCTCTCTGGAAGGTCTGGGAGGCCAGAATGGCTCCGTGGCGGTTGAGAAATCTGAAGTCGCTTTTGCTAAGGTGTTATGACGAAGTTGGCCTGATACCAAAATGAAAACATTTTTGAATATTGAAAGGATTTCAGAAACTTAGATGTGAGCCACTGACAATCCTGCAACTTGATGAGACTTGTTTTAAAATGCTATTATCTTTATTTACTATGCATGGAATTCTATTTTTGAAAGCTAGGTTTTCTTGGTATCTAAATCTCACCCTGGCTTTAAGTTTAGGCATGTTTGGAGGCTTAATACACACTTTTAAGTGCCGCCTCTAAGGGGGAGCCCCCAGAGACCTCTGATTTGTCATGACCAAACCTGGCAAGGAAGGACCTCTACATGCCTGTCTTCCCTTCCTTAGGCTGTTCCCGAATCAGAAATGAGCCTTAAAAAGCAAATAGAGGAGAACATTTTTATGCAAAGCCAAACCCTTTCCTTGCTATTTATTCAGACAAGTGGGGTTTGGGATACTGTTTCTTTGTGAAAAGACAGAGAATAAGAGAGAGGTAGGAAAGCCCACAGGCAGGAGATAACTGAACATGGGAAGTTCAGAGTAAGATAGTTATGAGGAGCCATTCAGTCAAGAGGACAGAATGGAACTGCCCCATGGGGCCTCCCAGGCTGTCATCTTTACATATGCAGATCGTTCGGCATTTTCTCCCTGGGTGCATTCAAAGGGCAACTTTTCCAATGAAGTCGTTGAGTGTTTAACCATTGCATTGTCAGGGCATCTTGGGGAGTAGATTACCTGTTGCTAAAAATAAGTCATGCCATTTACTCCTGACCCAGTTTTGCGGAAGCAAGTAGAGTACCTGGAACTTTCACTGCACGAATTTTAAGGAAAGTAGAATCAACCCCTCCCCCAATGCTGACTTTTATCTTTCTAGAGGAAACCGTCTAGGAGTAGCCTTTTTTTTTGCGCCCCCTCCACTCTAATTTGGCTCCTAGAGTGAAATCCAGTGTCCAGAGAAGATATGAACAGGATATTTTTCTAACCGTACGATTTGCATCATTTTCTGGGCTGGGTGTCGCTGTTTGTCTGTGTTTGTCTTTTTCAATGACGCAGTGAGAATACTGCCGGAGGGAAAACACAGATTTTACTTCATTTGTTTCGGCAAAAAAGAAGTAATCTATTTTTTTTATATTCATGCTTCACAAAGGAGTAACAAAACTGGCGTGGGGGTGGGGGAGCTACTTTGAATTACACAGATGATAGTATAGCACCAGCCTATGCACCGAGGGGTGAATTCCAGAGAAAAGGGATTTTAGTGTCTGGGTCTGCATTGTAGCTTTCACAACAGGTCTGTGGTAGCTCCAGTGGAGAGGAGTTTGGGGACTAATATCAAGATTTCTTTCCTGAGATTCACAATCCTATGGTTCTACAGAGAAATTAGGCCAAAAGAGAAAAGAAGGAATTTGGCCTTGGTGGCCTGCTATTTCTGAGAGCGTGGTGAGGGACAAAGAACTGAGGTAGTTACTTTTCATTCCACGATTCTTTCCAAACCTGATCATTTTTCTTGTTTACAAAGAGTGTGCATATTATCTCCAATGATTCTCAAGGACTTGGGAAAGAGCAAAAGATACTAAGTCTCTATTTTAAAAGAGAGGAAATATATGATATTTTTTGTAATCCAGGGTTCTTTTGAAAACTTAGAGCTGGAGGCAGGGGTTCTCTCTGATGGATGAATATTGATCATGGATCACAAAGTTCTGCAGACCAAGAATTGTCTTCAATAAACACTGAGCCCAACATAATCTTCTAAGCAAGGTGGCCTTTGTTGCACAGTATCTGGGGAGGAGAATGGGCAACTCCCCTGCATTTTGACCTTCCTTTCAATAGCAGGGTAAATTAGCATTATGCTGGTTTGTAATTTTTAAGTACAGGAAAATGACAAGGCTTTCT